TGTTCGTCGCTGATAACGGTTTCGTAATAGGTACAGTGACCGAAAAAAGTATTCATACACCCTATAAAATGGAATAACTTTTTTAAAATTGGGCCAAACGACTTGTGTTTTTTTGGAGAAGTTAGAAAGATTAGTTTACTAGATGACGTGTCGAAAATTTTTTGAAAAAACTGCAATTAGTCGGAATCGTGAAGAAGATAGCGAAGGCCGTTTTTGCAACTTTTTTATCTGAACTCGTAATGAAAATTTAAAAAATACTAATGTTGAAAATCGCACTATTTCACGACTTTCGGCGTAAAACTGTAATAAATCTGCAGATTCTTACATCTTTCGATGCCTGTCGCTTCTTTCTCCATCGACCGATTTCGATGAAATTTTCAGCGTGTGTATAATTGACATAGATATACAAAACGTATTTTTTAAATTTTCATCACGAGCTCAGATAAAAAAGTTGTAAAAACGACCTTCGCTATCTTCTTCGCGATTCCGACTAATTGCAGTTTTTACAAAAAATTTTTTTACACATCATCTGGTAAACTAATCTTTCTAACTTCTCAAAAAAGAAACTCAAGTCGTTTGGCCCAATTTAAAAAAAAGTTATTCCACTTTATAGGGTGTGTGAATACTTTTCTCGGTCACTGTATCTTATCGTTCGCGGAGGAAGAGAATTAATGAGACAACACGGTGTGTCGCAAGAAACGCGTGAAAATATCGTATCTTTTTTTTGTGCAAATTTTTTCATATTCGCCAGATCAGTTGGTTGTATTGGGAGTCACGAGTTGAAAAGAGTTTTTTTTTCTCCTTCTTTTATAAGAGAGAAGTTGTAAAAAGGTCAGTCGGTGCTGTAAAAAGCACGTCGTTCGGTTTCGCGGGAGGTTGAACGTATATAGGACGATTCATTTATCGCGACTCTGTTTTTCTTCGTTTCATTTTTGAAGGACACTCTGTAGATATCGAATCACACGTCCTGGAATAACACTTGGGCGTGAATTATTCTATAGACACAACACAATATCTTTCGCGAATCACCGTATAGGTGCTTAGTAATGCCATATGCGAATTGTACCACGTGTTTTATAGGCACAGAATAATATTGCAATTCATTTCAAGTATTAATACATTATTTTATAAAAACATTCCACAATTTATTTTCTACAAAAATATAACAGAACTATATTGTACATGGTCCACATTATATGAATGACCCTGTAGACATGAAATAGTATTTTACGTGGATCACCCTGTGCATGCAGAGAACGGTATTACGTGTTCCACCTTATACGAATCATGTTGTAGTTGCGATGTGACACTTCGTACAAATCACCCAGTATATTACACAATTCAGTCTACAATCATAAAGTAACATTATATCATCCACTTGACGTGAATAACCCTGTAGACATTTGTACGTATCACCTTGTATACGTAGATTGCCGTTCGCAAGTATTGTATGATTTAGATTGCATTGCTTCGCCAAACTTAGTATCATAAGATAGTAAAAATATATAGGGTGTTCGTGCTATCAGTCTTCAGCGTTTTTTTTTTTTTTGTAAATGAAAAATAGAAGAGGACAAACTTTAATTATTTTTTATACACATACGATGACTCGAATAGATTTTTTATATTCGCAATAGTCTTCGCTTAATGACGATACCACGAATTCTTTTCATTCGATACGTCGATACGATAAGTCGGTCAGAGATAGAAAATTATTATAAAATAAATGCTGAATTTCGACAAAAGAAAAATGGATTATTCATTGGTACAGCTAATACAAACCATTCTGCAGGCATCGTATCTATTACATGGTGGGTATGAAACGTTGTTTTTTAAAATGAAGCTTTTAGACACAATTTGTTTCTTTAAAAAATAACATATATAATCAATATAATTTCCACACAATCCTGCACACTTGTCCCCGTGATTAACTAGTATTGTTATTCCAAATTGATAAATATCATCTGTCTTTGTAATTATCAATATATCATTAGAAACGCTACTCTGCTCGCGAGAATTGAACTGAGCGGGCAATTTTGTTCAATTTAACCGAGCACGACTGTACATACATACATTACTCTTTGCAAGAATCATCCTGCACACGCAAAACACTTCTTCACAACACTTTCGCAATCCTTGCCAAAAGTTTTCTCAAACGAATCGTAAATTTTCCCTCCCTGCCCCCCTTATCCTTTATCACCACAGTTAATATGCCATTTGCGTATACACAACGTGACTCATGAGAGAGCGCTTAAACGCGCGTTCGTTCGCGCACGATAACACGCGAAAGTGTATCACCGATAATGAAACGTTCGAGTTAAGCCACGGGTCGAAGTGGACGACATTTGCATAAGGAGTCGCATGTGTCGCGTGTTTTATCGCCTCGAATCTGTCTCAGGCGCAATACGTCTTTCCCGCGACGCATCGGGATCTAGCCTTGCCCGAAACGTATCCATGCCCGCCATGATGGATCGGTCGCATTCAGAAAATGCATTATGCATACTTGCTGGATAATAAACGGCTCGCGAAATGCATAACCGCGTGATCTGTTGCAAAGAAGAGAGAGAAAGAGAGAGAGAACTTAATTCGATTGTGGATTGTTTTATGAAGAAAAGTTTGGTTATGTTTGAAAAATTATATTGGCTAATGGTGAATAGCCAATGGTGGCACGAAATTTGACAAATTTTGTAAATAAATTGCTGTATAAACGATGAAGTTTGATCTTTCATTTCCTCAGCAAACAAGTAATGGTAAATCTTTATAATTATCGAATTGTAAATGTTGTAAACTAGTGTAAACTGTATAAGAGAAGATTCATGGTGTTTTTGAGAAAATGTTTTTGTTAGGTATCTCGGGAAAATTCTAGTGGTTTGATTTTTGTTTGAAAGGTTCAAATTGCAGGTAGAATCGTTCATAAATATTATCGTGAATAATTCTAATTTTTGGTATCAGAGTAAATTAATCAGGTTAAGAGATCTAAAATCTTTCTGATTAAAAATCTCGGATTTGCACGAAGATTCTCACGTATTGTGACAACTTCCCATTGAGAATTTTCATTGTGAAAATAACGCCGATAAATGTACCGTAATTTGGTGATCAAGTGAAAAGATTTCTTGCTCTCTGCTGCGACATTTTATGGAGATCGTTATCCAATCAATATGCAAAACGTCCGATCTATTCACACTTTGTGGAAGAGAGGTGGCAAAAATCTGACTTTCCTTGAAATGCACGAACTACTGGAACAGGAATTTCTCGTCATCGTTTATCGCGCTCTAATCAGGCGGTTTGCCCTGATCAATACACGGACCGACTAACGTTTTGCCCCCTCGATTCTGTTAGGGGGAACGCAGTGTACGCTGGTCCTCGTGGCCAAAGATCGCGTTAATTAGATCTGGCCTAGGGTTATACAGTTACAATACAAATTCCACGTGGTTCAATCAAAGCATTTCATTCATCGTTCTGTTCTACTCGAGAAGATAACGATATTCGGTTAAAATGTAACGTGGCTTTAATTATACCCTTCATAGGACTGAATAGTTCTTTCTTTAGCAAATGGAGAAGTTACTATTTGAAAGTCTCTTAGTAGAAGTGTTTGAAAATTTAATATTCTTAGTTTAAGGAACATGGGATATTATTATCTGCTGCAATCTTGTAACTAGAGTTACTTAAGAATTTAACTTGTTTAACCGCACAACGTTGAGTCTTGTGATAAGGAATTACTAAAGCCTAACATTTATTGAACTAACGATTTGATATTCGTCATAATTTCACTGAACCTTTTTAATGGGTCTACTAAGCATTCCAGTCAGCCCTTTGTCATAAAACAGTAACGTATTTCAATCTTTGTGCCAAGAGATCACTGAAAGCAGACTTACCTTAGATCTGTGTCTTTTTGGACCAAAAATATGACATTGTTCATTATGATCTGATGAAATCTTAGTAGATCTACTAAATACTCCCGAGAAACCTGTGTAATACATATCAGAAAACATCCTGCACACTGCAAGAAATCACTGTATCCTAACTCAATCTTAAATCTACCACTTATCAATCCAGAAGCATGCCATTTTTCACCACAATCTTCTTAAAAACCTACCAAACACTCAAATGCTGTGCATCAACGCTCACTATAAGAAAACCACAGTATCCGTACCCAATCTCAAATACAAAATCACATTTCTCCCTGTAATCAGCTCAAAGCCCTTTCAAAAGATCTATCAAACACATCTAAACATTTAATCAATCTTCACATCATTCACTCTATATAAAACACTCTACAACCTCCTCAAACACCCATCAGACACTCAAACCAACCACATAATATTCACAAAAGGACATCCTCAACACTGTACACCAAGGCTCTCACAACAAGAATCCCACCGTACCCCAATCCAATCTCAAACACACTCCTTGCAAAGTCAAAACCGCATTCCTTCCTGCAATCGGCTGAAAACCTATCAAACACATCTAAACACCTAATCAACCCTCACATCATTCACTCTACATAAAACAGTCTATACAATCCTCGTGACAAGAGCATCACTTCAGCCTGACCTAACCCGAGGTCCCCAACCCCGTGTCATCTAAAAATACCCCACATTCCACATCCCGATCGACCGATCCTCCCCTCCTACGTGTCGACGCACCCCTGCAAGCAGAAACTTCCAGGGCACCCATGGGTTCCTCTCGTTGGTCGTTAGCGCAGCACCAGCGTGTGCCATCCTCGTGGCAAAAGATCGGCGAGGTCTGACCTTGCCTAGCGCAGAAAACCGTGGCAGAAATTCCTCGTCGGGGTTCGTTACGTCCGGATCGGGCCGCGTTCCGATCAATATACGGCGTATCCTCGCGCTCGAGGACGCGTGCGCGCGGTCAGGCCGATCCGGGTGCCGCGAGCAAGCAGACGGGGAGGATTCGAGTTACGCCAGCCGGCAGAGAGCAATCGTCCGACACGCGTGTCGTCCGTTAAATCTGTCCGTTAACGCGTAAAAATTCCTCTTCAACAGTTCTTCCACGATCCAGAACCGTGAGAGAATCGTGGTAAACAGAGGTTCCTGTTATACGTACACACGCGAAGAAAGAGAGAAAAGAAAATAGAAGGGGCGCGACCGTTTTTCGGGGGCCAGAGATCACAGCTCTTCCTCGATCTTAAACTCTCAGCGAGAGGAAGCGAGAGGCGAGAGGAACGAACGTAGGGAAGACGACCAACACACCAACCAAGCAGCTGCAGCCACGGTCGCAAATCACGACTTATGCGTCTGTACCGAGCAGGTAAAGATCCTCGGCCACTGCTACGCCTCCGCGGCTCTCCGCTCGATAATACTCGCTTCTGGGCTTCTCGCCTGTGCTCTCTCTCTTCAACACTGCTCCACGAGGAATTTTTCTCACACTGTTTTTCCGATAGATCTACACCGGATGTTTTTTTATTCTTTTTACATTTTCGTTATCTTTCGAGGATTGCTAGGCTGTGAATTTTTTTGGTGTTGAGAAGAAGGGGTAGTTTGTTTGACGAAGAGATCGTGGAAGAAGATTGTTCCTTCTTGGTGAGGATTGACGGATTTGGAAGATTGTGGTGCTAAACAGGAGAGTTTTGTATTTTAAACAATTCCGGTGTGATTCTTTTGAGGGTCTTCTGGTTGTTCAATGGTTTGAAGCTCGATGAGGAGAATCTGGAAGAGGATTCTTTTCTGGAAGACTCTAGAATTCGTGTATTTTCGAAGTTTTTTGTATTTTTAATGGGATCTTTTGGTTCCTTTTATCGTGATTTTCTGAGATTTCCTGGTTTTGTGCTCGATGAGAAGACTGTAGAAGAAGGTTCTTTCTTAATTGGCTTTGAAATTGATACATTTGGAAGTTTCCAATAACGAAGAAGGGATCTTTTGGTTGCTTCTGGTGTAATTTGTGAAGTTCTTCTGGTTCTGGATGACGAGAAGATTCTGGAAGAGGATTCTTTCTTGACTGGCCTTGAAATTTTGCATATTTGGGAGTTTCCAACGACGAAGAGCAGATTGTTCTATTCAAAGTGGGGTCTTTTCATTCTTTCTTGCCGACTGGCAAAAAGTTTCCCCTGAAGGACTCTTGGATTTGATATGTATTTGAGACTGAAGAGTATATTCATAGATCTAAATTTTTCTATCGTATCTTTTGGCTCTTCTTCGTGTGATGACAGTGAAATTGACCTGTTCGATGATTCTAGAAGAGTACGAAGAGCAATTGTAAGACAGTCACGTTCTCAATATGGAATTCAACTAGTTCATAATTGTATCGTACAATTGTTCTTAGATTTACATTAATAATTATTTACAAAGTTAAGGAATCGTTTGTTCATGAAACGAGAAACGAGAAGAGAAGAAGAGTTGGTTGTAATTGCTGTCGTGGCAGGTTTTCATTCATTGATCCGGGATCTTCTGAGCTGTGCGGCGTGCATTGACGTGGCCCCTTTGCGCATTCTGCCTTGCCAATCTTGACGTGAATTCGAGAATAATTGATGATCGAGTGGGACATCCTGATTTGATAGTGAATCGAGAGAAGGGAGGAATTCCAGCTGAATTTCGTATGTCCAGTTCATATGTGTATATCTCAACCTGCTTATTACGTGATCTTCTTCATCTTGGAGTCTTCCTACGTGTATAAGTGATTACATCTAAGTTTGTAATTCGCAAATAGTGGTGCAACGAGATGTGTCGTTCCTTTTGATGATCGTAGTAACAGATTTTCTTTCTTCAAAGATATTCCTACTTTCTTATCAGTTCCAAGTTGTAAATTTCGAATCAGTCATTCGACAGATATTATTAATTATTACGTTGACAAACTTCCACTCGTTAACGATTCTTGTAGTCTCCGAGGAGTTTCATAAGCTCGTAAAAAATTTGTTTCATCGTCAGTTCAAAGTTCCGAATGTTGGTGCAGTGGAAATTAGTCGAAGATTTTCATAATTTTTTCAGTCATCGCGATGGCAAATTTTTATTCGTTAAGAATCCTCCGTTGATGTCGAGAAAGTTTCAGATATTAAAAATCGAAATTTTTATAATGGAAGTTCCATGAACTGGAGATGGTAAATTTTGATGTGAAAGAAGGTCTGATGATTAGCTCGATGTTTCGAATTCACGAAGAGAGTAACGTATCAAAGATGACTATTTTTAATTATCGTGGTGGCAAGGTATTCATTCATCGAGAATCTTCCGGGTCTCTTTCTCCTACGAGCGGCGTAACGTGCATTGACGTGGCCTCTTTGCGCACTGTGTGACACGGTGCACAACGTGACCGTGTGCATCGCTGACTCTCTCGTTTTTTGAATCTCAATACGGCACCGCGAGGCGTGTTCATACGATGCTTCACCACTGTCACTAATCACCTGGTGTCGTTCTATTGAACGTGCGTCGCCATCGATGCGGATTTCGCTTTATCGCGATACGGAGGGAGTGGTTTCGCATATTTCGCGTCGATAAAGTTGCTTGATCAACAACCACCCCAATTCTTGCTTCTGAATTTTTTGGTTTTTCAACAGTTCCTGATTTCAGAATTCTCGAAACTTTTCGCTTTCTTGAATTTTCCATTTTTCGAATTTTTAGATTCTCAGAATTTCGAATGTTTCGAAGTCTGAATTCGCGAAGTTTAGAATTTTTGTAGAATTTTGAAACGTTGGAGTGCTTAGAATTTAGAAATTTCAGAATTTTCCATTTTTCGAATTTTTCAATTGTCAGAATTTCGAATGTTTCGAAGTCTGAATTCGCGAAGTTTAGAATTTTCGGAATTTTGAAACGTTGGAGTGCTTAGAATTTCGAAATTTCAGAATTTTTCAATTGTCAGAATTCTTGAATCTTTCGAGGTCTGAGTTCGCGAGGTTTAGAATTTGCAGAATTTTGAAATCTTGATGCTTAGAGTTGCCAAATTTCAGAATTCTCCGACCTCTCCACTTTTAGAATTTTTAAAGTTTTCAAATGATAGAATTGTTGAATTCTGAAAATCCCAGAAAATTCTCAGCTTCTCAAATTGTCCAAGTTTCTAAATTTTACAATTCTCACAATTTCCAAACTCTCGAAATCTCGGTGTTAGAATATTTGCAATTCTCCGAATTCTCAATCTTTCCAGTTCCTTAAATTTTCCGAATTTCAAAATTCTCGAAACCATCCAGTCCTCAAATTTTTAAAATTCTTCTCCTTTCAAGTTACACAATTATTGAAATTCTCGTCGAAATTAATCCAGTCGTTTCTCCGTCTTTCTCGAAACGATTCCTGACTCTCTCGAAGCTTCTGCAGAAATCACGTTTCGCTATACAGAGGATTCCGGAGGATGCTCGACGAAAGTGATGAAAATCAACGCGAGGGTTGCCCTCGAAGAAAACCAGTTCACCAGTGAACATTTTTATCGACCTGTTTCGATCGATGGGATTTTAGTTCGCTGACTGGTAAGTCTAGGGAATAAACAATTGCCATAGGGGTGCAGGTCGAAGGAAGTGGGTGAACGTGACGTCCCTTTGAGCTGTTCCTCCCTGGTTCAAATATCTGGCTTCTCTTTGTTTACCCACTTACACTCTGCTATACGTTACATTCTTTCGCCGTGTGGACCTTAGGTAGAGCTCGTCTTACGAGCTGCGCGATTGTTTGGCCGCGATAAACGCATATTTGTCGGACGTTGCACCGGATGATCGATTGCTGGTCAAATAAATTACAATGTTACACGGTACGCGGCCGCTTTTACGTTGATTCTCGATTACTTCGCGTGGGTCCTCGATGATCCACCAGAAAATCGTCCGATTATATTAGATTCGTGGCATTCTATGGTTAGAGGTGTTACGTACGTTAATTTTCACTGTGCTTATTACGAAACTTTTCCTTGACTTTTGAAGAAGTCTAGTTTCACTTTAACATACGGTACGATGTTTATCTACAATTATTTTTAGCACGTTATTGCACGATTTTGTCAAAGGTGACAAAGGCCTTCTGTATTTAAATAGAAAGTTCTGTTATTTTCAGGGCATTGATCTAGATTACTAGTGCCTGAAAATCTATTTTCTAATCCCTTCGAAGGAATAATTACAAAGAAAGATTCGTTCCATTTTGAACGAATGTTTTCGGTTAAAATTAATTGATTAATCGAAATTTCCAGTTAATCAGTTCAATTAAGTTCATTCATTAATTGAAGCAATTTTTTGCAAAGGTCAGCGATATCTTCATGGTTCAATATCGTTCTGAAATATTTTGCATTTATTACCAAAAATTCTTCCGTGGGTCACTGATAGTCTAAAACACGTTGCACATAATTACCATGCATCATTTGCTAGTGTAATATATTTTTTTAGTAGTGACAACGTTATCTGAGCAAGATATCCTCCGTGGGTCATTGGTAAACACGAGACAAACTTGTATCACTGAAGTGACCTAAGCTTTCGCGTAGAAACTTGGAATAACAACGTATCTTTCGATAAATAAAAAAGTTCCATAATTTCATCTTCGATTAATAATCTTACAGTACAATCCTTTTCCAACGATAAAAGCTATTCGACATATCGATGAATAATCTTCTACGTCACTGGCGAACACTTCGTTCTTTCTCGCGAGAAACCGTGTTCTTTATCGTTTCATTAACAGCTTCGATGGCGTACAGAAAATTTCATTACTGTACCACAGTAACACCGTTAATTACCAAGCGTCCATTAACACTCTAAAGAAATTCTGATATAACGTCTCTCCGCGTCGGAATCCGAGCCGCTGCGTATTCAGGGTGTCTCACTTGTAACGAACATTTAAATTATTTCCCCTACTGTTGAAAGTAAGAAAATCACGACTAAAGGAGTTTATGGTAACCAAAAAAATCCGCAGAAGATCGTCGACACTTTGTTTTTGCATATTTTACATGCCTATTTCTCCCTTGTTTCATTATTTCTACATTGTTCAAAATTCTTTCAAGGCTATGACGTCACAGGTCATTGAACTCGTCTTGACGTTGGTTACTGACCAATATATAATAAATAATAGACGTTGTTATCTGTACAAATTAATTCGGTCTCTTTGTTCAACAAAGTCTTGTTGACGCCACTTTATCGGCTCAAAACCGTTGTGTGTATTCTTTTTAAAATAGATAATTCCTCAGTTACACCCGGTAAATGGAAAAAGGTCGTCTGAAATAACGGAGATTATTTTGAATATTGAAATTGTATTCGATTTTTTCGTAAATGAACATTGAAGTTTGTGAACAAAGGCACCGAATTAATTTGTACACCTGATAATACGAAGAAAAAACAATGTTGATAATTTTGAAATGACGTGCAA